GGGGGGGATTCAAATTTCATTGTATATAACTTTTCACTTAACAGTATGTGATGCTCTGCCTTTTACCGGAAATTATGTACATGTACGAAGATCAAGTTTGTGTTAAGACAAAAAGAGGTTACTGCCGCTTCAATTAGATCAAATTAGATACATCACTCAATTTTCATGCAACGTAACTACAAAAGAATTAAGTATCATGGCATTGTTTGATTCTGAAGAAAGATTAAATAATTCCAGGTCTTTGTATTTTGTCTAAGAGTAGAAAACTTCTTGGAACTTCAGGATTAGAAAGGAGCTAAATCAGGCTGAGAACTACGTTAGTCAGACCCTTAAAATCACCTGGAACACCCTGGGGAGTGGGGTCCAAGATGACCTGATATGCTGTGGTTGAGATCCGCTTCTGAGATACACACATAGGTGCCTCTCTAGCCTTTTCAGGCATGATCAATTACCATAAATATATCGGCTTATACCCCAGAAGGTTAGAATGGAGAGAACACAAGAGGATAACTTAAACTTGTTTTAATCCTAAATGCCTAGAACAAGTATGCGAAAAGAGACAATTCTACTCCAAACATTTAACTCCCAAAATAAAGCTAATTTAATCATCAGCCTTGTAGATTAGTGCATAACGGGAACTGCATTTACTTGTTATCAATAGCCTTACACCAACTCTCAGTTGGTATCCTTGTATCCATATTAAGGGACCTAGGCAAATCAATTGCCTCAACATGCATTCTTACTTTACTTACCCGAGTTCATATAACATAGGAAAAGCAACATAGTTTTCCATCAACTATAACTCATCACGCATAAAGCAATAAAGGGCAACCCGGTGCATTAAGCTCCCACTATGCGCAGGGTTCGGGGAAGGGCCGAAGCACAAGGGTCTATTATACGCAACCTTACCCTACATTTCTGCAAGAGGTTGTTTCCATGGCTCGAACCCATGACCTCCTGGTCACATGGCATCAACTTTACCAGTTACGCCAAGGCTCCCCTTCATCAGGCAGAAAACAATGCTTAGTGAAAATGTCATATTTTACTTTAGATAATCGGCTTCCTCCACTACTAAATTAGGTTTCTACTTCATCAGGTACACAGAGAATATAACCCGAGCTCAAAAATGGGTACCCGCAACATTTGAGACCCTAAAGACATTGTTAGCATGACCTTCCGATTAAAGAGCTACCCAATACTTGCACAATATTATCTCTACTCAGAAATAGCAAATTATTGCACTCATAGATTCCTCTTTCTCAAGTATAACTGTAGCATAACATTAGAACCCAAAGATAACCCCTAGTTAAAGAAATACTATCACGTCTTTCAAGACCAAAAGGATTTCATGTCAGAAGTCTTTTTAGCCACCTGGTGCATGTTTCGAAACTCGGTGGATAATGGGTGCATCCAAATACCAGGCCTTTGTTTGGCATGATTCGAACACATGATGTTCGCCTAAGCTACACTTTACTACTAAATCAATGGTTTCATGTGCTCTGATTCATTATTTGGGAGCACTACCGAAGTGTTTCAAAGGTCTGGTTTACTGTTATATCGGGAGTTACTCCACGTACTGCTTGACGTAAAACAGGTAGTGAATTTGTTGTCTTTTGTAGCTCTGGGAACTTGCTTCATTTTCATGAAGAGCTTTGTGAAGTCGCCAAACATATCACTTTACTACTAGACCAAAGCCCCCACTCCAGGAGGGGGGGGGGGTGTTGGGTTACTAGTACATATAATCCACTTTACAAACATCTTACAACAGAGGGTCTTGCTAACTTGAACAATGTATTGCAATGACCAGAAAAAGGAGAAAGAGATATATCTCAAGTTCGAAAACTAAAGAGTAGATATAGAAATATTAAGCGTACCCGCACTATCTCTTCATATGTTTCATCATCAATCTCGACTGTGGTCACAATTTCTTCAACATCACCAAGAATCATATTAAGATGCTGATCATAAGCCTGGAAAGGAAAACCCATGAGCGCTTAGTGTCACCGCACAGCTTTTCTCACTAATGATTTTACGGAATTGGAAAACTCAAAAGTCGTGTGATGCCAGTGAAATTAAACAAGAAGTAAAAGAGAAAAGAAAACATCTAAAAATATTAAAGCAGATAAATAACAAGATGATCCGCAAAAAATAACATAATCCAGTAATTTCCAGCAACATCATGTAATTGTTTTCAGCATTACTAATAATGCAACTATGTTACAACTGTCTTATTTTCCTAATCCAGACTATGTGACCAGGTAACCAAATATTTGCAGAAATAGGCAAACAAGAAAAGCAACCACCAGTTTACATGCAGGTAAAATGTTTCATATAATGTCTGTGCAAATCAGGGAATTAATGTACTGCAACTGCAAGTAGTTTTCAATGAGACACATCATTGCTTATTCCCTCTCCCAAGGTTCTTCGTCAACAATTCCTCGTTTAACCCACCTTGAAATTTGAATGCTAACATTTGGAAAAGATGCCTCTACACATTGCTTGGATAATAGTCTAGTTTTACTTTCACAGATAACGTCTCGTTTCTGCCTCTATTGCTTTCCTATTGTTCTTACTTTTCAGACATCTTATTTTTCATGAGATAATGAAAAATAAAATACCAATCCATTTCCCATGTTTGTATTACCTGCTTGAATAATGATAGTGCATTAGTATCTTTAAACACCCCCTTTCCTATTTTTATGGGTTAGCTCATATTATTATTTATTATATTCTTCTATATCAATCTAGAATTTTTGCACCGCTATATTCGTTAAGAGCCGACCCCAACTAGCTTGGGATTGAGGCGTAGTTGTAGTTGTTGCTACTATAATCTTTAGGACTACATAAGCAACATGAAAATTCAGTAGGTTTTTAGGAAAAATAAGCATACGCTTTGATTTATATGTTTGTGCTCCCTCTACAATTACTAGTATGTGCTAATGCGCAATAATTTGCACCAGATGCGGCTATATAAATAATGTAAATATTATCCATCTAATTGAAAAAAAATACGTTATACAAATGAGCCCGAACATAGGGTAAAAAAGTAGAAAACAAAGAAACAGCATAAACCCTAGAATAAGAAGCAAAAGGGCTAAAGGTACATCATAGGCTAGCTAGAAAAATCGTAAGAATCCACCAACTTGCATACATATATAGCTAAATATGACTATTCAACCAGATAAATTATCACCAAGAAAGATAGAGGAAACATGGGCAATAAAAATTGGAAAAGGAAGAAAAAAAAAGGAGAGGAAAAAGTTAAAAATACATGAAGTTTGCCGCGGAGTTCTCTGTCGGAACGGAGTTTAACGTAGATTCTCTCGTCAAGACTGAGCCTTATGAGATCCAATGGCTCCTTCACTGCACTCTCCTCTTCACTTCCCATTGCGCTCTCTCTCTCCCTCCCTCTCTGGAAATTCAAACGCGACTATTTGATATTATTAGCCAAAGGTTTATGTTATAATGAAGTTGGGAGGGTTAGTCGTGGTGGTTAAGAGGCGCAGGTCCAAAGGTAGGCCCATCTAATAGGCTCGGCCCAAAGGGAAGTGCACCGTTAGCCACTAATAAAATATGTATTTATTTTTAAACTACGGTTTAAAATGTCTTTAGTCTTTAGCCACTATTTTAATAAATTTTACCCACCCGGACGAAAATACCCTTTTGCTCATAAAGTTCAGGACCAAGTGTCTTTAACTTATGAGCTTGTTATTGTAAGTTGAGGACTACTTGTCCTTAACTTTTGAACTTGTAACTCTAAGTTCAGGACTACATGTCCTTAATTTTTGAACTTGGAACTCGAAATTCAGGACTACTTGTCCTTAATTTCTGTGCTTGTAACTCTAAGTCAAGGACTATCTGTCCTTAATTTATGTGCTTGTAACTCTAAGTTAAGGATCAAGTATCCTTAATTTTTGAACTTCTAACTCTAAGTTCAAGACCAAGTGTCCTTAACTTATGAGCTTGTTACTATAAGTTCAGGACAATCTGTCCTTAATTTATGAGCTTGTAAGTCTAAGTTAAGGACTACCTGTCCTTAGTTTTTGAGCTTGTAACTCTAAGTTCAGGACTACATGTTGTCGCGCCCCCTTTTTCCTCGCGGAGTCCGAGCTTCGACATTCATTGGGAACAACTCATTTCCTTTTGGGAATTGGGTATTTGAATTTGAAGAGTCGCCACCTAACGGATTTAAGGTGCGTTAGGCACCTAAAGCAAGTAACTCATAAACCGGTTTACATTACTAGAGATTGTGTAAGGGCTCGAAATAACCTTGAGGGGAAGGTGTTAGGCACCCCTCGCGGTCCACAACGGTGAGTCCCGGCCAAACTCAATTATGTGAATTAGTCATTTAACACACAGCAATCTAAGCACACATATAAGATAAAGAAAATTTTGACAGATAAGTAGTTTGAGCACATATGTACGATAAAGGAATTTTAGCAAATAAGCAGTCTAAGCACACATATGTAAATAAGATGAGGGAAGTCTTAGGTTTCTTAGCCTATAGGATCACATCTGTATAATACCCGATAAGCCTTCCTCAACTAGAGGGGTTACACGTGACATTGGCGCACATGTCATCATATCCTTTACTACCCAATTACCATCCCCTTGGCCATATCCTAAAGCGTTCTAGCAACCTTAAGATGTATCCTATGCGTGCACTACCCGTCCCTTTACTTATATAGTCCTGAAGGTGTTTAGGACTTCTAGTTAAGGTGGATCTAGACTCTCCTACAGTAATTAAAAGGAGAAAACTCTAGGCGACAAGCAAAACACATAGGACTGGACCAATAATAGAACAGTTAAAAGGCTCACATTTTACCTCCACAAATAGAGCAAGTAAGTGCATGTCTCAGACAACAGATTTTAGATATTTCCGAAAGGCCTTAGAACAGGATATCTAGGGAAGCATGACAAACGAAGGATATGCAGTATTGAGTTAAGGCAAAGTGTTAAAGACCAGTTTGCCTACTAAAATTTTTAGAACCTGTTGAATCTGGGCAGTCATAAGCAAATCATAGGTTTAAAGTTTTTATTAGACATTGATTACCTATAAGCTTGCCTAGGCAGGGCTCTATAATACCCTATAAACATATTGCCTAAATGCAATCAGAATTCTGGAATCAGTTTAAAACAAATTGAATTTATTAAGTCCTATAGGCATGTTGGTCTAGGTGTTGAACGTTACAGAGCTGGTTTTCATACATTTAATCCAAGAACATGATATCTAGATATTGGAATTGCTTTTAAACAGAATAGTTACTGATTTATGCGATGTAGACATGGTTTTAAAGCGAATGCAATAACAGTCCTAAAGCAGGATCTCTAATGCACATGACAAATGGACATTTGGTTAAGCAGGATTATAGCAATAATTTAATAACAGAATTTCTAGGTGATCATGATTATGCAGAAGCAGAATTGCATGACAAATGAGATGATGAGCCTATAACATATTTTCTAGTATGCCAAATAATCCTAAAGCATGGTTTCTAAAGCAAGTAAATATAATAAACCTAAGGCATGATTTCTAATGCAAATAAACATAATAAACCTAAATGCATGATTTCTACCCGATTTCCCTCACAAAAATCGTATAAGACTTCCCTTCCCTTTTACTAATTGCCCCAATATCTGTTTACAAGGATTATTATTACAGACCATAAATAAATTACATAATGAATAAAAGCTATACTATAGGCAGCCTGAAATAGGCCCAAAGCGAACCTGGAAATACCAGGCCTTCAAACAGTCCTAGATGTCATAGTCTCATGATGTCCAATAAGGGTATCCTGGTGTGTCAAAGTTCCCAAGGGCCTCAGGGACCCTGGGCAATGCTCACACCAGGATCCTTTTAAATAGAAGAGTAGTTATGTGTTGTGTGGAAGGGCCAACCCCAGTGTGCTAGAGTTCGGAGGAACCTCGTGGATTCCTAGGTAGTACACACACTGGAGGGGCAGAACTTAAGTAATCTAGGAATAGAAGTGGGAGTGCTTGACATAGTTGATTTTTTTTGAAGACAGTATAGAGGTAAAATCTTGAGGAATGAAAATACTTTAGGAGTAGTAATAGTTTGGAGAAACATACTAGGAGTGAAAAACATGTTGAAAAACCTTTTGAGGGAAAGGAAGGTTCAGCAAACAACAACATAGTCACAAAAACATCACATTGCCCAGTTTCAACTTTACCTTGTCAATCAGTTCTAGATGTACAAATAGTTACACAAAAGGGAGCAGGGGTTGGGAACACAAGACACTTAAACAGGAGCACATAAGAAGAAGGGTGAAGGCAGTCATGTTGGTTAATAGAGACATAGAGCAGGCGGGAATACTGATATGAGGTCTAAATTACAATCATACTTAGTGATAAGCATCCTATTTAAGAACACACAAGACTTAAGCACTACAATAAACATGTTAGCTAAACACAGTGAGACATAAGTCTGGATACAGAGGCAATCATGCTGAAGAATACAGGAAGGATCACAAAGATTCAATCACACAAAGTAGCCATACTAATTGAAGTCCATAAGTAGTCATGCTAATTGAAATACAGAAAAGTCATGGATTCAACAGAAGTAAAGCAACAGATAAGAAAACACATAGGTTTAGGCTTCATAACATAATGAATGGCAGTAGGAATGGAAACATACAAGTTAAAGATAGCAAAACAGAAGGTAAAAGTGTGCAGAACTCAATGATTTAGCCTTGGCTTTCAGTCAACTAGACAATGTAGTGAACACAGGTAGCAGAAAGGTTTTAGTGAGAGCAAAGTTTGTGTGTGTGTGTGTGTGTGTTTCTGAACTGTTGTTCGTGTCTTTAGAAGAATTAGAGTGGGAGTATATATAGCACTTAGTAAGGTAAAACAAATAAGGTAAAGAGTGAATCACAACTTATAAAATAAAGGTAATCAAATAATTATAGAATCAATTCATGTAAGGGAGTCCGGAAGAGACCCCTTAATTAGGGGTAATCACTTAACAACAAAAAGAAAGGGTTAATTAGGGTAAGGAATCCAAATCATACAAAATAGGGAATTAGTAAGAATCCTCAAAACCATATGGATAACTTATTAAGGCAAGGCAGGTAAATATTGTAAATAAGGTAAAAGGAGTAATCAAATAATCAATCAATCTTTACAAGGGACAGAAAATCAGGGAATTATTCCCATAAATGACTCGGATTGAGTTTCAAATAAGGCAGAAAGTGGGTTTAACAGCCAGATAGAGTTAGAGCCCATAAATCAAGCAATCAATCATACGAATAAGGCAATCATAGGTAATTAGAAACCAATCAAGGGTCAGTCAATCCCATAATAGGCAAGAGATGCTTATTACGGATCCCTGGATTAAGGTAAGTGAGCAGAAATCAATAATGAAATCCTAGATAATTTAGTTAATCAGTCAATTATTCAAATAATAACGGATGAAAATGTTGAAGTTACACAATCAACAGCCAAGCAATCGAACCAGAAACATAACCATGTGAGAAAGATTAAATAAACATAAGGATCTCAGAAAACTTTTTGCAAAAACAGAAGTAGAAACCCTAAAATTTTATAAATACTTAGGGTTGATTAATAGTAGGAGGATCAGGAGAATCTTTAAGAAATAGTCATGGAAACTCAAAACTACTTCAAACATAGAGGTTCGACCAACAAATAATGAGACAAGTTGGTATCAGAGCTCTAGGTTCATAGGAGTCACGAGACATAGGCCGGTTAGAGTCTCGCTGATCGGAACGGAGATGTATGTACTTATCTACGAGAGGCTATGTAACCGTTAGGAAAATTCCACTTCATTTCATTTCTTATCGTGCGTCATTTATTCAGTTTGGAGCTTATATCATACGTTCTTTTTGCATTCACTCGTGTATTGAAATTGCGCACTCGGTATCAATTTTGCGCCAATGGTTCGTGATGCTACAGAAGGATTATAAGGGAGCCAAGAATTTGCTCAACCGTTGTTACCGCGTGTCATCCATATCGATAATGCAGAAGTATTGAGAGATCATTCAATTGTGCACATGGGGGTGCAATAGGTTCTGACATCTGGTTGAATAGTACGGTCTTAAGAAGGTTTACTTAATTGCCTAATCGTCGCAGTAATGGTAGAGTCACGAGGTGGACGTAGGTCTGAAGATAGTTGGTGGTAATAGGGACTATGTGGTACGTATGAGATGTCTATCTAGCGAAGGGTACAACTAGCAACCGAGATGCTGGAGGAAGTGAGTCTAACTGTCCTTAGAAGGACANACTGTCCTAAGAAGGACATATGCCAAACGAATGGCTTGGGGTGTCTCATGATGGTGACATACGAGCGATAAAGGTTAGTATTGTGGAGTATCAAGATGTATCTTATGGCCTTGCACCAAGTGAAGAGAGTTCACTATCAACGATCAAATTGTGGGTCATGTGTCATATCAGATTTGGCATGAGGTGTATTTATG